GAGATATGTTTTCTTCTGAAAANACTCTGATACTATTCAAATATTCTTTCGGTTTATAATAATATAATATTAATTGCATGGAATACTTTTAATCATTTTTGTCCCTATAAAATTGCTGATGATTTCTTCTATATAAGAATTTCTGCAATTTTAACTATATTTTTCCATGGCTATGTTAATAGACAAACGGAAAAAACATGACTAATAAAAATGCAAGACCGTGTATGTATGTATTTTTATTATTACATATAAATAAACGTAGTAAAAAAGTATATATTTTTTATTTTGGGGGTCTCCAGAACGAATTATTTAAATTCCCATTAAAACCTATTGTAAATCGATAATCGCTTAACGAACAATTCGGACAGCGAACAAAGTCTTGGAACGGATTATGTTCGTTAACCGATCACCCACTGTAAACTGTTTGAATTTACATTTTTAAAGATTTTTCGGATTTAATTATTCCATCGAAAGTGTTTTTCCAATAATAGAACTATACTGTTAAGAGAGCCCACACATATATTTACTCTTCCCCTGTTGATACTAAGAGGGCCTTATTATGAAGTCTATGATGAGTTTGGCCAGGCCCACAATAGAGCAGATAGTAAGAGACAAAAAATTGGAAACTACACATTGCTCGGTGATATAAATTTCTTTTAATTTTTAATTCAGTATAAAGTAGATTTTGAAGATAAGAAACTGATATCATTGCAAACAATTTAAATAATTATCTAATTACTTTATCTCGTACTACTTGTGATTTTTTAAAGCAATAATCTGTTTAATTAACGTTTTATAGAATTAATTAGCGCTTTTCATAACTAAGTTTTAAAGCGATTTGCTTTAAAACTAAATTGTAAGATTTCTTATAAATTTAATTTATAGTAAGTAAAGTGCTTTAAGATTAAATGTTAAATATTCTAAAGCGTCAAATGTTTTTCATCGAGAATGTGTACCGGTATTTAATGTAACATTTTATTTTGACTAATTGAATTCTTCATTTGTTTATAAAAGATCGTTTTTTGGTTAACTGCAACTTCCAAGAATTCTGATTTATTATTTTCTCGCAAAATATAATAAAATAAAAAAACAAAACAAATGAAATTTTAAAAATAAAAAAGAAAAACAANTAATTTATAGTAAGTAAAGTGCTTTAAGATTAAATGTTAAATATTCTAAAGCGTCAAATGTTTTTCATCGAGAATGTGTACCGGTATTTAATGTAACATTTTATTTTGACTAATTGAATTCTTCATTTGTTTATAAAAGATCGTTTTTTGGTTAACTGCACTGACAAAGAAGGATTAATTTGCACTATTCGAGTCTGCGCTATTTCATTTTAATTACTGTATAAGTAAATTATTTTAATATTTCCTAATTTAATTATGTCAGAGCCGTAACAATTTGTACCATAATTAATGGTCGTCTTGACTTGTCTTTTTATTACGATTCTTTAAATTCTTTAATATAATTTTCATCTTGACACTTAAAAATAATTTTTTTTAAGATTTATAATTTTTGATTAGATGATTTTCATGTAAATTAAAGTTTTACATTAAAATTTCTAGCTACCCAGTTTTTTATTATTTATTTTATTGTTTTTTACGTGAAACAAATATATGATTTAGACTTGTCTTAAATAAATTATCAATTTTTATTTGTTTACCGTGTACTTGAATAATATTTCTCCTGTTTACAAACCTAGAATAATAAAATAATTTCATATTTCATCAGTAAACACGCTAGTTATCATCATTAAATGAAATTCATTTAATTCGTTACGATTATAACATAATTTAAATATAAATATTAGATGAATTTTAAGTAAACATTTAAAGCATTTATAAAGCACGATTATTAAAATATCAATAATACTTTATGATGTGGAAAATCGATTGAGTGTTTGTAATTAATTAACCATATTGAATGCATTGGTATATGATATATGTAATTTTCAATGATGAAATTTTGCGATTCATTGAAATTTCTAATTTGCTATTATTGTAGTCGTCAAATTTTGCACGTATACACTCGTTATAACGAGATAACAAAAGCCCAAAGGTAAAACAGTATTCAAATTTAATCATCAATTAAAACGTGATACCGTGGCACATACCGTAAGAGATTATTCGAAATTTATGTACGCATTATTATTATATAAAATCTGATGAATATTAATCCTTTTCTTTGATAGAATTCATAGTAATTGTAAAGCATTAATTAAATGACAATGTGAAGGTTCCTCGTTCATTTTTGACATAGCTCGAGTTGAAATTTGATGCTTCAGATGCAGCAACAATATTGGAATCTGTGGTAAAAAAAATGACTTAAAATGAAGATGGATATGGTAGATATCACTTTAAATGTCTAAAACGCATCTGGTAGCAAATTTCTGACAAAATTCATCTTCACATACATTCTCATAAATTTTTTAGGTTGCAGCTTCATAAAAATAGTATAAAATATGAAGTTCTTTTTTATATCTTATCACTAAAGCCTATAATTTTGCTAATCTTTTAATCGGAAATTTAATGATATAATAAATTTCGGATTAGCACTTTAAATGTGCTAATCCGAAATTAAAGTTCAGATTATTATTACTTATTCAATCATTTTAACGTTAATTGAAACTAGATAATATGAGCAAAACTTCAATTCATTTTTTTTTTAATTATACTTTAGGTAATTCAATATTTTAGAATTGTTCAAAGTTTCTTCTCTTATAATCTAAAGTGGCGTATTTTTATTGACAATGATACTATTCAAATATTCTTTCGGTTTATAATAATATAATATTAATTGCATGGAATACTTTTAATCATTTTTGTCCCTATAAAATTGCTGATGATTTCTTCTATATAAGAATTTCTGCAATTTTAACTATATTTTTCCATGGCTATGTTAATAGATTGAAGAAACATCTGTATTGAAAATATATATAAGATTCATTGTCAAATTTGTGATATTTATCGTAAAGTACCCGTATTCAACACTGCCTAGAGAGAAATTTAGCAGTCCAAATGTAAACAAATCTTGTATAGTGACATTTCAGGGCATGCAGGAGACATTCTCATAAAAAAGATTTGTGCCAAACTCGCCATTTTGAAACTTTTGGCGCTGCAAACAACAAACAGTTTATTTGTAAAAGACACTCGTGCTATACAGAGACCTTAGTGATGTAAGGGATACTGCTCAATGTGGTTCTCTGATCAATGTTTTAGATCTTAATCCTTGTGATTTTTTTTGTGGAGACACTTAAGTGTAATTTATCAAAAACCTGTTGGAAATTTAACAGCATTGAAAAACTATCACATTTTATGCCAGAAGCGTCACACAGGTACTGTACATTGCCTTCAGGCTTTACACCAGGCAATCATATTGAGTAATATCTTATGCATCACTAAAGTCTTGTACAAATAAATGTTTATTGCTTGCAGAGCCTTAATGACGAGTTTCGGCACAATTTATTTTTTACGGAAGTCTTGCATGTCTTCAAACGTCATCATTAAATCTGGTTGCATTTGGACTGCTAAATATCTCTCTAGATAGCGTTGAATAGGAGTACTTTAATTATAATCACTCCTTATATTATCAAACAGTGCTATTTTTTATAACTGTCAGTTATAAAAAAGATTGCATAAAAACATGTGAAAATCATATTAAGTAAATAGAAACCAGTAACAGTTTCCTGTTTTGATTTGTAATTATATGGAAAGTAGCATTATTTTAAAATCAAGTCCTAAAAACATCTCATAAAATACAGTAAATAAAGTCGCCAAAAAAGTATTCAATTAAATTTAGTGCCACATTAAAATAAGTAAGAAAACATTGAAAACAGTTTTTATACATCTTGAATATTGATGTAGCAATGCTTTACTGCTTCATGTTGCAGCTGAATGCAACTGTTGATGATATCATTCTAAATGTGGATCTGTTTCAAAAATGCATGATATCAATTAGTCGATTAATATCAAATTAGAAGTGTATTCACAATTATTTTTATAGACGTAAAACTGTATTAATTTAATGTAATAAATGCCATGTTTGACATTTAATAAATGTTTCTAATTAGAGAATCGGTTTTAATAGATTATTTTCGACTGTTCCCACTGTTTTTTTTTTATCAAAATAAGAAATTACTATAATTTAACATTTTCTTCTGTAAATGAAAACATTAAAAAAAAAGATTTTATTATTCGTGATCCAAAAATCTGAATATACTGTATTTAGGTGCATATATATTTTAAAAGGTAAATAAAAGAAAAACGTATCATTGTATACAGAAATCTTTTTCTTTCGAGAAATAAATTATCGTTAAGAGAGACATCGTATAACTCACTGTTAACTTCATTTTATTCCAGGCGTGACTGCATTTAGATTCAAAGCCAACTGATATCAGCAAGATGGTCGCTTTAACAGCTATAGATCAATGTCCATGTGGAATGCTATAAAACATGACTTTATTACATCTTTCGTAAACATCTTTATTTGTTCTGTGCTGTAAAATTGAAAATGTGTTTGCCATCTTCACTACTAAAATCTCGGCATCTTTAACATTATATTTATTAGTTTGTGTTCAAAAATATTAATCAGTAAATTAGCCTTGTAGAAAATATCTTTATTATAATGAGAATATGACTATTAAAAAGCAATAAAGATGATAAAATGGGAAATGATTTTAGATCCGTTGACTCGTTAAATTAAGAAAACATCGCAGGGAAGTTAATAAGATAATCAACAGTAAATATGATTAGTGGGCCAGTTACAATCTTTAGCCTTTAACTTTATAATTGCTGAAAATTAAACCGTAACGCGCTTAATTAAATTAAATAACTGATAAAACTGTAATTGAGAATAGCTTAAGATTAAAAGAAAGTTAAATTAAGAACTTTTAATAACGTGTTGATTAATTTTTAGATAATAATTCATTAATGAATATAAATTATATAAGTATATTTATTAATACAAATTTTAAATATAAAGCCCGAAATTTATTTTAGATCCTGATCGTTGCCATCCTACTCAACCATTTCGATGTCCTGGTACTACAACTGTTTGCATATCCCTCCAATATCTTTGTGATGGAGCCCCCGATTGTCCCGATGGATATGACGAAGACAACCGTTTGTGTATAGCAGGTGAGTTTGTTATTAATACATTTAAAAATCTATGGCGACAGAAAAGCTTTCTTTAAAATCTGTACAAACACTAACGGGTCCAAAAATCTTTAGAGAGATGCAGAAAGGAAACAATACGTCTTATAAAATTTTTTACTAGATAATGTTCCCGGTTTTACTGGAAGAAAACCCCCAAAAGAGAGGTGCAGCTGCGCCTTGCGGTTTCCTTTCATATCGTTAAAATTAAATAAAGATTTTTAAAATGTGAATTTCATATGTAATTAACGTTTATTTAATATATGTTATTAATACTTTTATTGAAATTATTATAAAATAGAATATTAGATAAATATTTAGGAGAAATTTAAAAAATAATGTCATTCTTTTTCTAAAATACAGCGACAAAATTATTCATTCCTTTATAAAGTATCAATAGGCAATTAAAATGATGTAAGAACGAGAATAATAAAGCTTTACTGAAATTTCTGTAAAATCTTCCATAATAAAAAAATAATGATAGATTTTAAATAAAAAATTCCTTTATTTAAAAGGGAATAAAAAATATTCCCTTCATTAGAGAAGCAAGAAATTTTTCTTGTTTAGAAACATAAAATAATAACGAAAACCTTGAATAATAAACTCTTCTATAAACAAAAAATATTCATTTTTTTTGTCTAGTACTATTTCATTACTTGCACTTTAATTTATTACTTCCATAAGTAAAGAAAATGTTTAATTAAGAATCAAATGAACCGTGTTAACAAAAAACCTATTCTACAATTCCATAATTTTTTCCAGTATATAAGTCTGATTCTTTTTATTTTATCGCAAGAAATTTATTTGAGTTAACTCTTATAATTCTAAGAGAATATCGAAAAATAGTATAATAGAAAATATAAGAAAATTACCTATCATTTTTGGTATATTTTAACAAACAAAAAACTAATTATGGTAATTATTAACAAAAATTCTCGTGAATGTAATATTGATGTTTTATTCAGCAGGATAAAAACTGTAATAATGGTTTCGTGAATTAATTTTTTTCTCTTTTTTTATCTTGTAAGTAATAATATATATCAATATTCATTAAACATAATTTACACTTCTGAAAAATCAGCATTTTTTAAATTGAAACTTAACAATTATTAGAACAAAATCAATTACATTTTTAGCATTTTTAGCAGAAAATGTAAATCTACTGATCAAAATTAATGATATTTTATTCTATTATTGTAGTAATTATAAGTGTTATATNTGTTAAGATATTAATTTAATATATATTAATATATGAAGATATTAAAGATAATTAATAATTAAGTATTGCACAAACATATGTATAAATATTGTAAATCAAGTTAAAAGCCATAAAATATTGTTCTAAAGCGTATACACGATATTTTTTATACACTTTGATCGTATCAAAATATCCGAAAATTTTAAAATTATTATTAAAATTTTATGTTTAAATCAATGTTTTAATTTGCATAATTTATTGTTTAAGTGCATGGCTAAAAATCTAAATTTACAGAACAAATTTTACTTTATTTCCAAAATTAATGCATCAATTAAAATAATTTATCGTTTATGAAAATATGTTTACTACGACTCTAGTATTTTAAACACATTAAATCTATTTATGTAAATGAATTAGAATAGATAATATAGAATGTATAATATATAATTACACTTCAAACATATAATACATAAATTATTATTATCGTTTATGCTAATTGTATGTTAAACTATAACTTTATGTTTCTTATTTGTGAATAACTTAAATTTTAATTTATGTACTGTACAGTACTGTACAAAAGACCGAAAATTATATTTAATGTTATTGGTTGAAATATATACTGTATATTCATCTACATTTTATAATTAAGCATATGTATATATAACTCAATTATATTGATTATATGAATACGATAATAAATATTTCCTACATTTAATGTTAAATATTTATATATAATATATTTAACATTATATATAATATATTCAACAGCACCATCGTGCAGATGGTGCTGTTGAAAATATTTTTTAACTTTTGCTTTAGTCTTATGGTAGACAATTCACTTTATCTTTATTTTTCTATTGAAACTCCCATAAAAAACGTTACTTTTTTCACCAAAGTAGTGTTTTTTTTTTTGGTTTCTTTCAACTTAAATAGTCGACAATATATAAAATTGTTTAAAATAGTTTTTAACATATATTATTTTAAAAAATTTTCATTCTAAACATCACATCACTCTAGTGAAATTAGTAACGGTTTAGCCCATGAACAAACACAGAGTTTTGCTTACAGCCCTAGCTTTAAAAGCCACAATAGAAACAATTGTGGCTTTTTAAGCTTGTGGGTAAGGCCTCCAGATACGTCACCGAGTAAAATGAACAAAAAGATCTAGAAAATCTTTAAGATATTAAAATGTTTTCTAATTGTCCAAATATTTCTAATTACACTTTTTGATTCAAATTAAATTTGATTAAGAAGCAAAGAATAAAGATCTAAAAACATAATTTTTAAATTTACATAAAAAGTATTCGATAAACAGATTTAAAATATGAAGGATATACGCTTTCGTTTTTAAAAATTTATATACTAATGTTTATGTTCATAAATACTATATGTAGACTAAAATCTCTGTACTTTTCCTTATAAATACATTTGCTGTAATTTATTAAAAATATATAAAAATTGATCAAAACTTAATTAATATTAAATCTAAATATCCTACTTTAAACGTTAGAAATGTTTATTTTAAGCGGTAACATCAAGCTATAATATGAAATTTTAATGAACAAAACCTATTTCTCTTTATAAATAATTATCAAGCGAATGTAACAGAAATACATTAGAAATTATTCTAAATTTGTAGTTTTCTGAATTATAATTTAATAAGAAAACCAAACAAATCTAGAATTATTTCTTAAAATTATTGCTTTTAACAAGTAATAAAACATTTACGTAGTATTTTACAATCGTATAATTTTGTCATTTCTTTAATATGGATAAAATTCAAATAAACCTCAATCAAAACAAACATTTATTTGCAAGAATTTTATGGATATTTCCTAGAAAAATTAATAAAACGTTATCGGAATTTTTATACACAATTTAAATAATACTCGTAAATTATTTGAATGCGATGCTTAAAAAGGTTATTTAGTAACCATATTATGGCAATTTTTCTCTTCTCTACGTAAACAGAAAACGAATAACTTAAATTGCAAATTTGGACGATTTACATATAATAATTTTATGCTTATAATATTCATTAATGTTATAATTACCGACCGAATTATCAAGGAAATGCTCGATATGCGCTCTAATATTTAAATCACATCATTCATACCGAGTTCGATAAATAACACATTATTCTTGTAATATATATCCATATTCATCAACAATTTCCTCATCCATCATCTTTGCGGACAGCATAGTCGAAGTCTTGAACACACAAACTAATGCAACAGGCTCCGACACGGCTTCGTAGAACTGCAAATACAATGAATGATTGCAAATAATTTGCATCATAACAGATTGAAAATAGTTATTTATAAATTTAAAATATTAAATTTTCAATTTATTCCGCCACTGACATGATTTTAAGTGTGATGTAATATTAAAATTTCATAAAATATTCATCTGATATGTCTTTAAATATAGGATATTGCTATTCAAACACAATATAGTCTAATAATATTTATTTTACAGTTTATTTTCTTTGATTAAAATCATAAAATGCCACAATTATATCTCATTAAAGATAATATAAATTTTAAAAAAAGCTTTTTATTTCTTAATTTTGAAGTCCGGATCATATAACTTTCGCTTCAGTCTAGCCACCAATGGATTTGAACACCATGGTCGTGGGTTCGTGCCTGACCACGTGCAGTTTTTCGGGTTTTTTTCACGTGACTAACACCTAAATAGGGACCGTGTCTCATAGAAAACTAACAAGAATCCCTCCCGAGAGGCATCTCCCTTGGCAGATCGCCCGTGTGTTGCATTGCCTTATCTCATTAATCCAATCCAATCCTTTTAATCTATTTTTAGTACATTCAACACAATTATCTGAGTTTGAATTATTAATAAGAATCTGTAAAAAAAGTAATATAGAATGTATAATATATAATTACACTTCAAACATATAATACATAAATTATTATTATCGTTTATGCTAATTGTATGTTAAACTATAACTTTATGTTTCTTATTTGTGAATAACTTAAATTTTAATTTATGTACTGTACAGTACTGTACAAAAGACCGAAAATTATATTTAATGTTATTGGTTGAAATATATACTGTATATTCATCTACATTTTATAATTAAGCATATGTATATATAACTCAATTATATTGATTATATGAATACGATAATAAATATTTCCTACATTTAATGTTAAATATTTATATATAATATATTTAACATTATATATAATATATTCAACAGCACCATCGTGCAGATGGTGCTGTTGAAAATATTTTTTAACTTTTGCTTTAGTCTTATGGTAGACAATTCACTTTATCTTTATTTTTCTATTGAAACTCCCATAAAAAACGTTACTTTTTTCACCAAAGTAGTGTTTTTTTTTTTGGTTTCTTTCAACTTAAATAGTCGACAATATATAAAATTGTTTAAAATAGTTTTTAACATATATTATTTTAAAAAATTTTCATTCTAAACATCACATCACTCTAGTGAAATTAGTAACGGTTTAGCCCATGAACAAACACAGAGTTTTGCTTACAGCCCTAGCTTTAAAAGCCACAATAGAAACAATTGTGGCTTTTTAAGCTTGTGGGTAAGGCCTCCAGATACGTCACCGAGTAAAATGAACAAAAAGATCTAGAAAATCTTTAAGATATTAAAATGTTTTCTAATTGTCCAATTATTTCTAATTACACTTTTTGATTCAAATTAAATTTGATTAAGAAGCAAAGAATAAAGATCTAAAAACATAATTTTTAAATTTACATAAAAAGTATTCGATAAACAGATTTAAAATATGAAGGATAT